TGAAAAACACAAACACTTTAAGTAGGTGTCCTGAAAAATTGTGCCATATGTGGCCAAAAAGCTTCTTATGATAACATTCATTCGGGATCTGACACTTGAAAGATTTCATAAATGTGAAGCATTTGGTTTAAACAAACACACAATCACATACCAAGCTGTCTTTGGTAAGAAGAGACAAGGTCAGCTCCAAAGGGTTCCTGTCTCCAGTAGGGTTTACCATTAGAGAATGAAGGCAAATTGCCAGTGCCTGTGTACATGAATTTTCTTTGTCCTCTTTTGTTTTGGTTGTGGGGCCTATCCTAGCGATTTTACAAGATGCCCGCTGTGTTCCTGAGAAAATAAAACGTGCTAAGCATGCTTGCCTTCAGCTCGTCCTCACCCGTGGGAGATACCTGCAGTGATTAATTGCTAGACTCCTAACTGCTATTCTCTCCACTCCTTAGGTAGTTTGGTGTTAATCACAACAAAGTTATTCTTTCAAGTGAAAATGCTGGCAGGTCCCTTCAGGTTTTATTGGGCCCTAGAGATTCTTGGCCTAATCTGAATCTGAAGGTTAACTTCCAAAATGTAATTCAATTTATCTGATTTTTTTTTAAGTCGCTGATACTGCCAAAAATATAAGTAACCTTTTTACGATCTTTTTAGGCAGTTCCAGTGGTTTGATAGAATATTTGGTGCAGTAATCTTTGTATTCTCTTAAACTGGAAGGCCTCTCATGGAGCTACACAAAATTTTAGAGCTAGAAGTGGTCTCCCACCTCATCTAATACAAACCTGTCATTTTATCAGGTAGAAAATTTTCACGGTATGATATTTTTTCAAAATATATCACTTTTTTTGGATAAAATAAGATAAGCATATGGTTCAAATGTCAAAAAGCATGAAACTTGAGCAGTGGAAAGTAAGTATTTCCCAGTTACCCAGTTAGCATTCCTGGAGAGAAGCACTTTTCCAGAGATATTTTATGTGTGCTATGACATCCTTTCAGTAAGAGCTCCAGACCTAACAGGGCCAGAGAGGTCACAAATGAATCACAATTTGATAATTATCATAAAGTAGTAGTGGGTCTTCTAATTCCATTATCTATTGGCTCGGCTCAGACTCTTACTATCTTGGACAAGTTAATGAATCTTTCTTCCTCGTTTTCCCCATTCATGTGGTAGCACTAATGATCCCCAGCAGGCAAGATTGTCAGGATTGAGGTAATGTACCAAAGTTTCAGGCAAACCCCTTGATTCTGACCGTGGGAAAAATACAATCTTTTTTTTTTCCTGTTTTCATTTCAAATGCAGAAGACAAAGTCTTACCAAGGTAGGAATGAAGGTATCTATAGACTCTATATGGTAAGAAAGTATGTGTCATGATGTCTGTTTTCACAACTCTAACACTTACTTTCCCAGTCGTGATGAAGTTGACTGGCCTCTTCCTTCCTCATTGCATTAGTGGGTATCTTTTATCTTCTCCAAGACCACTTTACACAACCTGAACATCAGATGCCTCCTCGAAATGCACTACTTTCAAAGATTATACACAGAAAAAATTACTGAAAGTGTAAGAGAGGTGGGGATTTATCATTTAATAAGTACTGATGATGTGACTAGTATGTACCAAGCATTTTGCTAAGTGACACAGAACCAGGAAAAACAAAATGGAGAAAATAGTGCTAAGGACGGCTCTACTTAGGAACTGTTGGAATTCGAGGGACTGCTTGGTCTGAGAGCTACAAAATCACTAGTCTCGCTCCAATCGAAAATTTCAGTAATCAGTGGGGAAAAAAATCCAAGGGTGCCTGGGTGGTTCAGTCAGTTAAATGTCCGACTCTTGATTTCAGCTCAGGTTATGATCTCATGGTTTGTGGGATCAAGGCTGCATCAGGCTCTACACTGATAACACAGAGCCTGCTTGAGATTCTCTCTCTTCCCCTCCCCTGTTTGCTCTCTTCCTCTCTCTCTCTCTCAAAATAAATAAATAAACATTAAAAATCAAAAGAAAACAAGGAAAAAAAGCCAACCAAACAATTTAAAGAATTTAAAGGTATTTATTGTCCATATGACGGACAAATCAAAAAATTGGGCAGGCTTCAAAAACTAATGGCTCTATAATATCAACAAAGCCCTACTTATTTTTCCATTGCTGTACTCTGTCTTCCATGATGTTGCTTTCAACTTAGCCTTGTCTCTTCTGATGGTCTCAAGGAGGTATTCGGATACAACCAAAGTTTCATGCTTCCTAGTTCATATGAACAAAAGCAGAGAGTACTTTTGTGGTAACTCCCATGGGTTAGAGAGAAATTTCCTTGTCCCCAACCTCCTTCCACTGTCTTCACAATCTCATTGTCTCTAATTGGTTCACATGCCCACTCTGAACCAATCACGTGAACAAAAGGATGTGATATTGCTGGTTGGCTTAAGACAGTCAGCAATTAATCCTGGAGCTGGGTGATAGAAACCAAACCATGCTGGGAAACATGTTTACTTAGAAAGTAGAAAGAGGCCAGGATGGTGAGGAGGGATCTCACAAATGTCATCTAGAGCTCTTGTTACTTCTTCTTACTGCATGTCTATTCTATGTTGCTTTCTTGCGTTGACTCCATAAACAAGGTTTTCACTTTGAGTTCCTTCATAAATTTGATTTACACGTGGCTGAGGCTTGCCAGATGGACAACTCTATTTACTTTTTTTTTTTTTAGATATATATAGAGAGAGAGGAAGAGGGGCAGAGAGGGAGAGAATCTTAAGCAGGATCTATGCTCAGCACAGAGCCCAACCCAAGGCTCGATCCCAGAAACCTGGGATCATGACCTGAGCTGAAATCAAGAATCGGGCGCTCAACCAACGGAGCCATCCAGGCCCCCTGCCATGTAACGACTCTCAAAACAAATGCCTGTGACCCTGCAAATCCAAACCTGTCATTCACCTATGATTTTTGTGCTTTAGTTCAAAATTCTCAAATATAATTGGCTTGGCCTATCCTGTGGTTGACTTGCCTAGCAGCTCTCTACACACTGGTCCTCGCCTCCTATAGCAGGAGGAATAGGGTCATCTGATATAATCATGAATAACTAGACCCATCTGTTCAGCAGGGTTTGTGGGTGGGAACAGATTCTTTTGGAAAGGGATGTGGGCAGAAAGGCAATTATATACATCTCTAACCAGAAAAATCCCAGAGGTGAAAAGGATAGGGAGAAAATGACACCAAATTTAAAGATAAAAGGAAAGCTTGGTTCAAAATTAGGCTGTGTGACTGATCATAGATGTTTGCTTTATTCAGTATTTTAACCTTATAATCTCTGCAATTTACTTTTAAAAACATCAAAATACTACCTCAAGGAGAAATATTACAGAAGAAAACAATCTTTGATCATAATCTTGAACCTAAAAAGATATTTACCCTCATTATCTCCCAGGTGTTGGAAAGTGCAACACATCTAAATTTTATGCCTTTTTTTGCAGACTGTTACTTCCTCAAAATGACTTTAAACATTGAAAAGGTGGGGCACCTGGGTGGTGCAGTCGGTTAAGCGTCCGACTTCAGCCAGGTCGCGATCTCGCGGTCCGTGAGTTCGAGCCCCGCGTCAGGCTCTGGGCTGATGGCCTGTTTCCGATTCTGTGTCTCCCTCTCTCTCTGCCCCTCCCCCATTCATGCTCTGTCTCTCTCTGTCCCCAAAATAAATAAAAGTTGAAAAAAAAAATTTAAACATTGAAAAGGCTAACAGAATACCCTAGTAAAAATTCTCCCAACAAAGGTGCATTTCACTCTTAAGTAACTTACCCATTTGCACCTTGGGATTTCCAAGAAGGTGTTAAGAGAGTCCCATGCCATCCCCAGCCTAACCCACTTTGACCCAGATGAACATCTGACTGATTAATATTTTAAAAATAAAAGAAGTAAAAAGAGGATTCTTTCAACACCTCCCACCACCCCTAACGGGGAGTGGATGGGGTTGAGGGCACCCAAAACTTCCCCCTGAGGCATGAAAATTGCACAGAGGTTATCTTGATGGTTCCAATCCTTGAATTAAGAACGCTTTGCCTAGACTAGCCCAGATTTCAAAACATAATAAAGTAAAGTTGAAGGAAAGAAAAATATAAGAAACAGACAACACTTTTCAAAAAAATGTTATTTGGCCTGTGGCTAATTCCGATTTTAGTTAAAAAACAAAACAAAACCCACTGATGGTTAAAACTAAACAGTACTTTAAAAAGAGAAGGGAAGACTTTAGACATAAAGGCAGAATTTTTTAAGTCAACATTTCATGCAGCAGCTCCTGCACGGCCTTCCCATTTCTCAATAGCTTTGATTTGTGGAAATAATGGTTATGCAATTTCCACACATTGTGCTCCAATCACAGCATGTAGGCAACAATGAAAAGAAAACAACTAGATGCACTCGAAGCTGGAGATTTTGATAAGCTTTTCTTTTCATTTCACAAGGGTTTTCAACTTGATGTTTTTCTGAGGCGACTGAGATAGTCCTATTGAGCTTTAATCGGATATATGTGAATACAGGGAAGTGTCTCGTTTTCTTAAATGTATCTATGGCCGCAGCACTGGTTCATCTAGTTGTGAAAAATTAACCAAAAAGAAACTATTGGACTATGAGAATTCCAGAGTTGACAGATTGTTGGTCTTTCTCTTAAAAAAAAAAAAAAAAAATCCCTATGCCATCTGTTTACAAAAGATGAGAAATGTTGGAGAAAATTATTTCCCTTAGGGCACAATGCTACAGCCATTTAGAGAGAGGTCTCTGGCATTTTCAGTGAGGCTTTGGTACCAGGAACAAGACAGCATCAGGTCTGCACTGTCGTTGACCGAGAAAAACAAAGATGACTTCCTCTGGTCCTTATTTTAGTTTTACTCTTTGAACTTTCCAGCAGTTTATTTATGATTGTTGTTATTTTTAATTGGGTACAGATTGTTTTAGGAATCATCTTGGTTCCTTTTTCTGAAGTTTTTTTTTTTTTTTTTTTTTTTTTTTGAGACTGGTTTCTAAGGTGCTCCACCTCCACCACCTGTCACTCTACGGGGGGCTATGACTTGAGGACACTCCTCGGTTCTGAGCTCAGCTGCGGACTGGATGGTGAAAGACAGCGGCAGGAGGAGGAGGAGGTTCAGATTTGGAGGTAGGTGGCAATACAGGATTTCAAAATAAAAATCCCCGCGCTGCCGCTTTCTGATAAATTTTCATACACTCTGTGGACCCGGAGAAATAACACTAATCTCTTGAATGTGATTCTCTCAGAAGGATTTTTCTCCTTACAGACAACACCCTGGGCGTTTCACCTCCTCACCCCATCATTTCTATGTGATTGATCAGACGTTGGTCACCTGTCACTAGATGGCATCGTGTAGTGTTTCCTAACAGCAGTACCTAAACTGGCAAAATTACAGCTTTGCCCATTCGTTTCTGTATTTTCTTCCTTGGTGTGGATCTAGAGAATCTAAATTGGATACTGGATATTTCTTCTTTATTTGTCGTATGGATTTAGTTTTGTAAAATTTGGGTGTTCTTTGAGATCCTTTCTCTCCGTGTGTCTTGCTAGGACGTGACCTCAATGATTCTTAAGTCTGAAATAAATAATAAATTAGTTCTTCCTTTCTGAATTTTCCTCCAAGTCACACACCCAAATATTTACTGATAGGGACTTTGCAGAAATAAAATAAAACTCAACACATCCAGGATCTTTACCTAGACATGCAGGCAGAACAAAATACGTGTATGAAAACGTGTTTTCTCTAAGCATGGCCAGTTCCCAGTTGCAATCTACTTATGGATAAGCCAGGCTGATTGAATAATATAAAAATGATCAGTTGATGCTTTCAGGAACCTGTGAAATTCATAAAGGAAATAGAACAGCAATAAATAAGGAAAACTAACGTAAATAGAATAAAAGTTAATGGTCACAGTCTTATACTTTCCTGGATGTGACAGGTAATTATGACCATTTTTCCCATTTTATTGAGAAATAATTGACAATGACCATTTTTGTTTGTTGTATGCCAATAGACCTTATGTTACTGAAGAATAGATTCTAACTTCTATGCGGTCAATAAAACAAGACAAATCTTCCTAACTTTTAATTATGACTTAATGACCTGAAAACTTCTAAATAATAACAAATGATAAAATGTACTATTTGGAATGAGGCTAACAAGATAGATGACAGAGAGATCAGATGATACATAGCATCTATAACATTACTTGATATTCTGAATAGCTGTCTAAAATCTATAATATTAATTTTCTATTTTCATTTATTTACTATCTGAAAAGACAGTTCTGTTTTAATTTGTCTTTGTGTTTTATTTCATTCATTCAACAAATATTAGCTAAACACACTATGTTGGCTTAGATGATAGAGATGCAAAAGTAAGTAGGACACTTACTTACTAGTAAGTAGTAAATTTGCCCTCAAAAAATTTTTAGTCTTCTACATTGTTAAGAATCCATAAAGTAAGTTTCGGAATCAATCACTGGGGTTAGGGGGAGGAGGAGAGAGGGATACTGGGAGAGAGAAACAAAAAGAAGAACTGCAAAGAGTCTTAGACCAGGCAACAGGATGCATGGTTATGGTCAAAGCTCTGCTAATAGACCCTGGAGCTCCCTCACTGTATATGTAAATGAAATAATTTTATAATAAAGTGTTTTGTAGGGGTGCGTGGGTGACTCAGTTCGTTGAGCGTCTAACGCCTTAATTTTGGCACAGATCATGATCCCAGGGTCGTGGAATGGAGCCCCGAGTTGGGCTCTGCACTGAGTGTGAAGCCTGCTTGAGATTCTCTCCCTCTCTCTCTCTCTCTCTCTCTAATAAATTTTTAAAAATTTTTTTAAAAGACTAAAGTGTTTGTAAATTGTAAAATACTTTTTTTTAATTTTTTTTTTATGTTTTTATTTATTTTTGAGACAGAGAGAGACAGAGCATGAACGGGGGAGGGTCAGAGAGAGAGAGACACACAGAATCTGAAACAAGCTCCAGGCTCTGAGCTGTCAGCACAGAGCCTGATGCGGGGCTCAAACTCACGGACTGAGAGATCACGACTCGAGCTGAAGTCGGACGCCCAACCGACTGAGCCACCCAGGCGCCCCTATAAAATACTTTTTAAATGTACAACTTTTTAAAGCTTTTTAATTTCTTTCTATAAGAACCCCGCGGTTTTCTAATAGAACTTTCATCCAGCAATCAAATCTTCCTTCCTCTTAATTTACCCTCTATTTCAAAATTCCAACTGCATAAATAAACCCTATTAAGTTTACAATTCCCCTTGTGAAACAAAACAGAAACACCAGGATCTTGGAGAGTAAAAAGGTAGAAAGCTAAACTAAATGGCCCTGTGATCACATCAGACTCTGAAACATTGAGACTCTGGGATGATCACTTTCCCATTCTCTACTCTGCTAATTCTTGTTGCTTCCCTTGGTTTTTGCACATGAGAAATAGAATTTCAAGCACATTTAGTTACAATAACACATGTGTGATAAAGGGACCTCTTGAAAGTTTCATTTTGGTCCTATAACTACCTCGTTTACACTTTGGTGGTAGAAAAAAAAGATCCAGTTGATGACTGCATTAAGAGATTCGGTACAATAGCATCTATTCTTAGACTAGTTTGATAATTATGCAAAATATTTCTTATTTTCCATTATGGCCAGTCATTTCATATTCTCCAAAAGGAAAATCAGAAAACCTATTTTCCAGGGGCACCTAACTGGCTCAGTCAGTAGAGTATGCAACTCTTGATCTCAAGGTCATGAGTTCCAGCCCCACATTGAGGTGGAGCCTACTTAAAAAAACAAAACTTATTTTTCCACAGATTGTATGCAGAAATAAACATGTAAGGAACTCTAAACTCAAATATATGTAAAATCACAATGAAAAATACATAAAATGGGGTCCTTTGTCAAGTCCTTGACTGGATCTGGATATGGAAAAGGGTTTTTTATCTTAATTCCCTAGTCTATTATCTGAGGATTTTGTGGGTTTTAACATTTTTTTTATATTTATTTTATTTTTGAGAGAGAAGTGCCTGAGTGGGAGAAGGGGCAGAGAGAGAGAGGGGGGGAGATACAGAATCCCAAGCAGGATCCAGGCTCCGAGCGGTCAGCACAAAGCCCAACGTGGGGCCTGAACCCACAAACGACAAGATCATGACCTGAGCTAAAGTCAGACTTTCAACCAACTGAGCCACCCAGGCACCCCTGAGGATTTTGTCTGTTATTCTGTTACTGTATTAAGTTGCATTTTTAGTATGATGACAGGTTATAAATAAAGGCAAACTTCTAATTAAGCATTTGGGCTGAAAATGTTCCCTCAATATATCAGTATATCCTTGTTTGAAATAGTCTTATTTCACTAGGAAAAGAGAAAAAGTTGCTTGGATTCATTCTACCTAAAGTAAATTATGCCTATCCTTATTTTGAATGATTAGTTTTGTTCTAGAATATTTATTTGCCATCACATAGGCTGGGAGAAAACTTGAAGGGTTGGAAATGAAAGTTCAGAGATCGAGATATCTATCTACCGTATTATTTGTTTCCTGGCCTTCCCTTCATTTTTCAGGTTCATGACATTTTTCTCTTTGTTTAAAATATTATTTCAAGCCAACCAAATGTCTCAAGAATGAATTATTAGTATTTGTGCACAAGAAACCTAGAAAATGGAGTTCTACATCATCAGTTCCACAGACCATAGCATTTAAGCCTTTTACCTCAGTATATTTTGGCAAAAAGATGGTCTTTATCATAAAAGTGTATGTACCCACATTTAGCCATGAACAAAACGTCCCTGGAAAGAAGCAGAGATTTTTTTTTAAAACTTATTTTGGGAAAGTGTGCTGAGGGTTTTCCCTAAAAATAAAATGGCATTTCATCAGTACTGGTCATTTTTTAGCCACATATGACAAATGATCACAGATGCTCATAAAAATCTAAAAGGAACTGAATGTTGTTCTCTTCTGACACGACAAATGTCTTTCCTTTAACTGCATTTTAAAACAAAAACAAACTTTACCACTTTGATTAAAGAGAATACAGGAAGCCATATGGTCCCACCCAGAGTTCCTGCATTCAAAATGTCCTCATGGGGAAGAAGGTTGAAGGTGTTTTTAAGAACAGAACTTTCATGTTTCTGCCTGTTAACAATGGCACTTCCTGTTTTGACCTCTAACTATGCTAGGCTATCAAGAAAGCAAAATGATAGACTTCTGCTTTTTGCACAATAAAGAGCATTCTTACTCCCTGTCGCCATGTGTGTTTAGAGTGAAGATTATTGAAGCTCAGTTTTCCTGAGATCCTACACATTGATCTGTGGTCTCCCAACAAAGGCTGGGATTTTCAAAAATTTCGGTTATCTAGCCATTAGCTTGGTATTGAAGTCAAAAGAATATGCACTGTTCTTTGTCTCAAAGACAAATACAGCTACATGTTGCTTCTAAATGGCCCCAGTGTTTTACCAAAATTTATTAACAGCCCTTAAGTGAGTCAGGACTCTGTGACTGCCTCCTTTTAATATACCGTCTTCTGGGGTGCCTGGTGGCTCAGTCCGTTGAGCATCCAGCTCTTGACCTCAGCTTAGGTCTTGATCTCAGGGTCATGAGTTGAGTTCAAGTCCTATGTTGAGCTCCACACTGGGCATGAAGCCTACTTAAAAAAAAAAAAATTAGAAAAGACTCTTTCTCTCAAAAAAGAGAAAAAGGAAGAAAGTAAGGAGACAGAGAAGGAAGGAAGGAAACAGAAAAGAAGAAAAATAGAAAAGGTGGGAGGAAGGGAGGGAGGAAGGAAGGAAAGAAAGAAAAATTAGAGTAGAGTGAGAAGGCCATCACTTCAAAGTGATGACAGATTGGCAGAGGCTCTGAGAGGGAGGGCCTCAGGTCCCTCCCCAAGAGAATATTTGTCTTCGGGCAAGAAAGAATTCAAGAGCAAGCCATTTAGAGAAAGGGACAAAGATTTATTAAATATAAAAGTAAGAAAGGAGCTACTTTATAGACAAAGTAGCAGTCTTTCCTCCCAGGTAAGGAAGAGGAGTCTCCCTTTGCTTCTAACTAAGGGTTTTAGAAGTTTGTTTGTTTGTTTGTTTGTTTGTTTGTTTGTTGAGGTTTTTTTAAATTAGCTAAACCACAGGGGTGC